TCTGATGTAGAGTTTCAAAATAAAAGACCTTTGAAATCTCTATTGTATGAGCTATAATCCCTGTTTTTAGATGAGAATAAAACAAAAACTGTCCAGTATCAAAGACTCATCTCACTCCAGGGTGATAGCAGGACACCCCATTTAGTCACTCAGAAACAGGGATGATAGCTCATATATGATACTTCAAAGGTCTTTTATTTTGAAACTGTACATGTACCAGAATGTCCGGATTTGTTCTGAGTGACTAGGTGGGGTGTCCTGCTATCACCCTGGAGTGAGATGACTCTTTGATACTGGACAGTTTTTGTTTTATTCTCATCTAAAAACAGGGATGATAGCTTATATATGAGACTTCAAAGGTTTTTTATTTTGAAACTCTATATCAGATTGTCCTGATTCTCCCTGAGTGACTAGATGGGGTGTCCTGCTATCACCCTGGAGAGAGATGAGTCTTTGATACTGGACAGTTTTAGTTTTATTCTTATCTAAACACAGAGGGATGGGTTTTTTTTTACTCTACCGTAATGCATAGGATATTCGCGCACCGCAATATCACGTGCGGGCTGGCTTGACTAGGTTTTCCCGAGTGGAGGCTGGCTTGACCGCAGTATTTTAAACATACTCCATTACAAATACATGTGAGTTCAAAATACAGAACTACAGAAGTATGATCAGCTAAATGTACTCAAGTATCAAAAGTAAAAATACTTAATATACAGTATGTACAATACTACACATTTGAGAAAGGGTTATAAACACATGTTACCAAGTAAAAACTACTGTGTAATAGTTAGAAACGTATGTCTGCCTAAAGACTAGGCTATGATAAGACAAAATGCAAATTAAAACCTTAAAATGGAAAAATAATACAGAATCATAGGTCAGTATAAAAAATAAGACAGTTATGTCTTATTTTTTATACTGACCTATGATTCTGTATTATGTCCTGCTAACATTTTTGAAATATCTCATATCGAAGGCATTTAATAAACTGCATATTTGGGGATAAGTTAGATATACAATTTGTTATTAGTTCAAATATTAGATGTGCACCTCGTAGTTTCTGAGATTCAGTGACATTTCTATCATATTTAGCCATTGCACATGGGTCTGCTGTTTATTTCTATTTATGGAACAGTAGTCATGTGCTGGAAGATTAAATATAGCATGATAAGAAATACTCACTTTTCAGCCAACTGTTTGACCTATTTTCAAAATGTCTCCAGATATGTGTATACTGTGTACATAAATGAGTCTGTTTTACAGTTCCCTTTTTTTCTTCTTTTTAGATGTAAATAACAGTATTATATTGTTGAGGGTATAACACATTGAGGAAAGCTGTGTTTTTTAGAGCTTGATGTGAAAATATTTAACAGCAAAGATCCTTTGAACGGTCACTCCCAGGTGATATGGAGATGGTGGAAGATATCTCCCAGAACTGTGGACAGATACTCCAAACCCGGGGAGTTGAAGGAGTCTCACCAGGACTTCTTAGATGACACTTTGCTCCAGAGTAAGAGCTTTATTATTTAACTCTAAACTGTTTGGTTTGCATTACTTTTTATCATGTGGTCAGAAAGCATAATAGTGCTTTAGGTATTCATAGCTTCATGTACAGATTGTGGCTTCTCTCCAGGTGAGATCAGTATGGTTTTTGGTCGTCGAATCTTGCAGTACACCAAGGCGTTGTGCCAAGACCATTACGACTATCTGGAGCGCCTGTCTGACTCCATACTGCTGCGGATAATAAATGATCTAGAACTGGAGGACGTGGGTCAGCTTGGACGAACGTCACACAGGTTCAGGGAGGTGAGTTCCAGAGACACATAAAGACAGATGTGCAACAAGAAAACTATCCTGAGATTAGAAATATTAACTATGTTATTTAAGGTTTCATCACTGCACATGTTATCTTTGATACATTGTTAAAAAAAAAAACAGTTATTAAATCAGATGTAATATTAGATTCCTATTGTTTTTATAAATGTGAGTAGTATTATTCATCCCGCTTCCATCACATTAGTATGCATAGAAAGTGACAGGTGCTGTGACAGGTCACACCTCTCCCTACTTATGCTAATGAGCTAAGTCCCGCCTCCCCTTTGTTCGAGGTGTGAGATCTCAAGTAGGTGTGAGATCCCAAGTAGGTGTGAGATCCCAAGTAGGTGTGAGATCCCAAATGTAGGTGTGAGATCCGTCGATAGGAGGGGGTTGATGTGTATTCACAGGTGTGAAAAGCCCCCACTGTTGCGCCTTATGGTGTATAATAAAAAATGTTTCAATCACATTAGTATGCATAAAAAGTGACAGGTGGGCCCGCCCCCAAGTCTATTAAAACAAAATGCCGCTTCCATCACATTAGTATGCATAAAAGTGACAGAAGGGCCCGCCTCAATTATGTGATGTCAGAAGACCGAAGGGGTGGAGTGAGATAAAAAAAAAAAGAACCCCGTGCAGATAAAAAGCCAGTCATTTCCAATCATCAAGTCATCTTTCCAAAAA